GAAATGGGTTCACACAATCTCACAACTAGAAAAATGAAAACTCTGTATTCATTTCCAAAGAGCTATGCAAATAGCAGTCAGCCTCCTGGAGGAATGCAAGACGGCAGAACTAACCACGGACTCGGAACTAACGGACTTGCTTGTGGGTCCCTCTGCCCCCTTGCTCCTCCTACTTGTGATTACTTCTAATCTATGACCACCTTCCTGTCTATTCACAAGTCACATAAGGCAGAAACCTAGAGAAACACAGGAACGCAGAAGTGAATCAAACTACTCCTTGCCTTATCCAGCAATGATACACTATCTTATTGTAACTTGTTCTGCCTAGTTCGGTGGATATCCTGGGTGGGCTGCCTTTTTGTTGGTGAGGGGGATGGAGGAATGTATGAGGGGAAGAGGGGAAGGAGGGGGGATTAGGAGGCACTGAGAAGAGTGGAGGGAGGAGAAGCTGTGTTGGGATATAATGTATGGAAGAAGAATTTTAAAAAAATTCTACTCCTTGATAGCTTCCTAGGGGTATATACTGAGGTCTTAGTCTGGGCAGTAAATACTGTTAACACCTATTAAACTCTGTGAGGCAGCCAACCAAACTCAAATTAGTAAGCAGATGACAGAGTAGGATAAATGGGATATTGATGAGAGTAAGAGTGGGGGGTAGCTGGGAAGGGGAAATGGGAGAGAGCAAAATGTGCAGTGGTACATGTACAAAAGTGTGAAAGAAGAAAATTTAATAATTAAAAGATCTCTGGACAATAACAGCAACAACAGAAGCTGGTAAAGTGGGCTGTGCACATGTTTTTAAAAAAAGTTGTTTATACTGGCTTGATCAAATTGAGTTAAGATCTGAATTTATCAAAAATATTGTCAATGCATAGAATTTAAAACTTTGAGACTATGTTTGAATATGCAAAAAAAGAAAAGCATGAAAAAGAAAGGGAACAGGGAAGGAAGGAAGCCAAACTAGATCGCTGGCTCAGTGACTGCTAAGAATCATCTGGAAGAGGCCGCTTATATATTGTATGTGTGTGTGCTTATGTGCATGTGCCCATGTATGTGTGCATGTGTGCAAGTGTGATGTCTGTGCTTGCATTTTGTATATGCACATGGGCCTGTGCATTTCTGTGTGCATGCGTGTGCTTGAATGTGTCTGTTATGTGTGTGTGCATGTTTATAGTGGCCAGAGGTCAACAGCAAGTATCTTCCTCAGCCATCTTACATTATGATTTTGTTGCTGTTGTGTCGTTTCGTTTTGAGGCAGGATTTCCCACAGGCTGGACTCATTAGCCAATGAGTTCAGCAGATTTTCCTTTGGCTGCCTTTTTGGTAATGAGTTATAGACATGTATTATGGGTTATAGACATGCTTGATCCAGGTCCTTGTGCTGGTATTGCTTTACTGAATGAGCCAACTTCCCTGCATGGAGTAATTTAACCTAATAGAGCTCTATCTAATAGTCTCTGTGGGCTAGAACTTTGGCCATATCTGCTTCTGCCTTTACTAGCAATGGAAATTGGATGAAAAAAAAAAACAAGTATTTTAAAACTTGTCAAGATTTTTGTAGTTTAATTTTTCTCATAAGATTGCTGCAATTATGAAACAGATAAATAAGGAAGAACCCCTGCTACTCTGCACATGTAAAACTCCACCTTCTATGTTACTTACCTATCCGAGTGTTCAACAGCAGTACCTCATTTTAAGCATTCATTACTTTCTTCAATTTTTCAATGGACAGAAGCCTGAAGACTATCTAGAAGGCAACTGGTATATGGCTAAAACTATCATGGGAACTACGAAAAGACAGATTCAAATGTGCAACTGGGACCTGTCTTAAAATAAAAGTTCGTCCTTTGATGTTATTTTTTAAAATGTGTTTTCTGACTTCAAATACAGAGGAAAGTATTGCAAAGGGTATTTTTAAAAATATAATCTGGCATCTCCTGGAGGGAGAAATTTTTCTTCCATTTCTACAGATCAAAGAACAGAAAATGTGTTGTTCTTCACAAAGTCATTTGAATGTAAGCTCTCTGAGAAGAGAGTTCCTCGTCTGCCTCATTTATTACCAACTCACTTGATTACTACATGTTTATAATTGGCAATTAAGAAAGAATTCTGGGTGAATATAGTAGGCCCAGACTTTAGGGTCCTGGCACAGAAACAGGGCCCATCTGCCTCTGCAAGTGACTGTATACATTAAAAAGAAAAGAGGTAAATAATGACAAGCCAAAAATCAGCATCTGGACCAAGTACAGCACTGCTGTTCCCTTGGTTTTTAAGAGCCTCTAGAACAAAGCTGTTTAACCACTCATAGTCCATGTGTAGTATATACTTAAATGTATACATAAATGGTTATGAAATTGATAATAACTTTTGGGAACAGGATAATGCTTTCTCTTTTTCTCTCTCCTGCATTGTTTCTTCTTTTCTTTCTTTTTTGATCATGGAACAGTAAACATATAAAGCATATTAGCTTCCACCTCACTGTGTAGCCGTAGCTGGCTTTGAAATCTATAGCCACCTGCCTTTGCTATAGATTTGAATGGAATGTGCTTGCCACTATGTATACATTCATATTTCCTTGAATTGATGAAAATAAACCTTTCATTGTAGAGAATAAATATAAATTTAAAGGTTAGGGACTTTTCTCCTCCATCATTCAATAGTCAAATGTAAATGTTGGTTATTAGTTTTTAGTTTCATGAAATAGTAGTTTAGAATATTACACTTAAATTATTAGTTATTCAGTCTTAGGGTAATAGACAATCAACTAGAGGGAGCAGGCCTTCTCTATTTATAGTAAGATATGTTAAGTTCTCAAACAAGAGGATTTTTAAATAGTGCTTAATTAGCGCTGCATAAAAGCAAAATAGTTGACTATACACAGTCAGTGGGCATCTGTAGGCATTGTCCCAATCTAATTATAAATTAGCTTAAAGCTTGTCAAAGTAAACAGTCCAGCCTACACAGCTCTTCACCAACTCTCGTATGAAGCATGTAGAACCAACAAGCCACAGAATAAAAAGAAGAAGAAGAAAAAGAAGTTCTGCTGTGTCTTTTCCTCTTGATGGAGTTCTATGAGAAGAAAGGTCATTTTTCTTGCTTACTATCTTATCTTTTGGTGCCCTTATCCTTTTTCTTAATCACACCTTTCTCCTGCATTATGCTTTATTTATGCATTCTTGAACAGCATCTTTATTTATGACTTTGTAAATCAACAACTTTGTGATAGGAGGCTAAAGTCACTTAGCTAATTACACATTCTTGATAAGCAGCATAATAACACCCTCTGCAGCATTCTCCAATAGCTGACAGCCTGTAAGTCACCGCTGCTTTTCTCCTTTGAAAATAAAAGAATGATTTTTTTTAGTTGTTTCTGAGCACTCCCTGCTTCTGCCACACATCTTCTTAAGCATATTACGAATCTGACCCAGACTATGACCTTAAATTTTATAAGTTTATATTTTAAATTTTATAACTGTACCCAACAAATAAGAGAAACAATAATAGTCGACTTAATGCAAATACTTATGATGGAGAGTTGATGATTTTGTTATTCTAACTGTCTTCCATATAATCCAATCTCATAAAACAGAGTGTTTGGACACTCCTTCCACACAAAGATGCCATGATGAAATCTGACCTGTTCCAGCCAGATTGGAAGTGCAAAGAGCGATGGAACGTACAACACTGGAATATTAATACAACTTCTGTAGGAAGACTGAAAAGTCTACCAAGCTATGAGCAAGGTCAAAATAACACTTAGAATATTTACTGCTATAGAAAATCATAGACTCCTATGAGAGATTTCCTGAATGTTATATAAAAATGGAGCGTGGTCATGCCGCATTCAGATGCGAGTTTGCAGCTGTCAGTGTCTAGATTTGCTCAATCTGGCTAGAGGATGATTTGAAGGTTGATTTAATTGTAGCTTCTGAATCATGTTCTCCCCATGTTTTAAATTGTTTAACATAAATATATAAATGCTTAAGGCACTTTGAGACTGTAAATATTTCGCATAAAGAATAAAATATCTCATTTTCTTCTAGGAGAGTAACTGAAAATAAAAGCAACTCTTGGGGAAAATATCACTATTACGACATAATGGAAACTGCCCCATAGCTGTGGCCAGTGTGCAGAAGGATCTAAGACTATACCAACATAAAACAAAGCTTTTGGCTTAACTAATCATTGTGAATAGGGACACACATCTGTACATGTTCAGTAAGAGACTGGCTGTTAAGGCAGTGCTTTTTGGGTTTCTTAGGTAGTGTAAGAGTGAGGTAACCTTTTTTTATATATATATAAGAAAAGAGAAGGCAGAAATTGCATCCATAAGAGCACTACCTATAGGAGAACACAGCCACCAGCAATGAGTTTTCCCAGTACAGTTTGCTCAGCCTAAGCTCTCCTGACTCACTCCCCAGTATCAGCTAATCATCTTCTGGGAGAAGATCTGATTCTCCCTCTATAAATGTTTACATCGTTTTCATTTTCACTTTTATACATACCTCCTTTTCTACATATTTTCTTGCCGGGTTTTCTGGCACATTCCTTGGATATTCTTTTTACTGAAAAATGAATAGAAGACTAGAAAATAACATGGCGCCCCATCACAGACCGCCGGAACATGCAACACCACTATCTAACTTAGTACGCTCCTGCTTTTACTGAGTGCCAAAGAGCCCCAATTCGCTGAGCCTGCACATGCAATGAGGAAACGCTGATGCATCTTCTCAGACGTCATTTGGTAGGAAATGGAAATTTGGGGCCCATTTCTACCTAAGTATACGTGCTGTGGAGGAAAGAAAATGAGTAGGCACAGTGAAAAAATAAGAACAGATACACAGACACACAGAAACAAAAAAGAGCGGCATGCAAGCATGTAAAATATGTCTACATGCCAACAGGAAAAGCCATGCATACTACCGGTACACATGAATTAACATTATTCAAACTTAGGATAGAAAATAAACGTATCTCCCTGTGTCCTGCAGTTAACTCACCATCTTCAGTTGGGACATAGATGTTTAAGTATAGGCAGTCTTCACTCTGGTCTTGTACATATGATGATACCACATCCAAGTTATTAGTGAACCAAACAGGAAGCATAACTTCAGGCAATCTGCCATCAATGATATTCTGGGGACATACAGGAGCAAATTGAGTAGCATTCCGGATATCAGACCAGGGAGATGGTGGTTCTGGAGGCTGAAAACGATGTTCACCTGTTGGTGGAGCAGCATATGGAACCCCAAGAAACTGAATGACAGGCCCCAAAATTTCATTATTGAGTTCTTTCTTAATTCCTCTTATCTTGCCAAAGTTAGTGGTAACCAATGGGTCTACTTCATCCAATTTTTGAGAGAGCACATGGACAGTCTGCAGCAAACATCCCAACAAGCAGAGAGTCAACGGGGCACCCAACCCCCTGTGTACCACACAAGCCATCATGGCTCTCCAAACATAATTTGGCCACATGCTTCTGGGACGTGCCATGGTCCCACATTAGTTGTCTAGCTCTCTGGTGCAGTGAGGCAAATATATCTGTATCCACTTGGGAACCTTGAAACGATGGTAGAATGCACCTCCAGCTTCTCAAATGTTAGCCTGGGAAGGAATGCTCGAGGTACCCTTCACTCAGCAAGGATCTCCCATTGATTTCCCACAGGTTGAAGCAGCATCTTCAATCCTCACTACTCATCAGACCATCTCCTATTGACCGGTCTGCTTTCCATAGCAGCAGTGTGGTGTGAGTGGCCATTGACTGTAGATTTCCCTCTTGGCAATCAAATCCAGTTAACTGTGGGTCTATATTCTAGAGGAAAAAAAATGAAAATAAATCATTAGTAAGACAAGTTAACAGACACAGTGATACCTAGATCTTTTACAGGGTGTAGAAATACTTTCAGAGTGGCTAGAGTTGGGTAAGTTGAACACCACGAAGAGAAGACAATGACTTGATCTCAGACTGAAGGTGAAGTGATTGATTATTAGATCATTGAGCAACTTGCCTGCCGACTCTGCATGTGCTAACTTAGAAACAGGCTTTGTCAAACACACACTTTCGGAGCATTGTACAGTGCAAAGTATTTTTTTTTTTGATCAGCACTGCAGGTTATAAGTAAAAATTTCCTCTTCATGAATATTTTAATAATTTCAACTAAGTAGAGAACTCATCGACAAACCTACAATTAGAATCCCATGAAGAGAAACCCTTTCCCCCAAAGAGTTAGTGTGTAATGGAAGATCAACTTCTAGGGATGATTGTACATATTAAAAACTAAGTAAAAGGAACTACCCAAAGCCATATTTATAGTGAACACAAAACAAATGTATTTTAACCTACTCCCTCATGAGTCCTGGTTCCCTGGAACATCTCAATGGTACAGGACATATAACTTAGAGAAACTTACTTTAAACCTAAGGTAAAGAACTGAGGGTGGCAAGCACATGCACGAGAGACTAAAGATATTTTCCCATCTAACTATATGTTTCAGTTCACAATAGGTTTGCAATGTGCAAATGAATTTCTGAGTCAAAGTCAATATGTTTTAAATTACAAATTTTGTTCTCACTGTTCTGTGAGAGATCAAAGGAAGAATACAAAAAAATGAGCATAGTAATTTAAAAGAACAATCATACCTAATTGTAGCATCTTGCATATTAACACTCATCAAACATCCCATGCTGTTTATTCAGTGAGATTGAAAATGCATCTGAACAAGCTGTAATTCTCAGCGCATGCAATCCGCAGGCTCATCTCGCACCAACTGTCAAGAACATGCAGTGCAGGAAAGTTGTCTTTTCGTGTGTGAACCACCCTCTAAGGTGCTGATTTCTATCAGAGATGGTCCTAATCTGTCGTGGTATGGGAAGATTCATGAAGACGCTCTGGCCTGGCAGTGACACTGTCCTGACTTAGTGTGACATGAAGGGAGAATGTAAAACTGTACAGGTCAGTAGGAGTTCGGTTTGGGAGCTCCTGCGCCTTTAGGGCTGAAGGTAATAATGGTGCTGGAGGTAATAAGAAGATAGCTGTCTCTCTTCAAGATTATTCCAGTCTGTGTTAATTGTCATGTAAGCTTAGACCCTCCTTACATTTCAGAATTCCTGCATTGACAGACGATTTAGCTACACACTCAGGTCTTTAAAGAATGTATTATGCCCGTGCATGCTCTGAATCACTGTGGGCCCCAGTGGGGCCGAGTCCTGTTTACCTTTTTCAGTTAAAAGATATCATTTTACTACTTAAGGTGGAGACCCTATGGGGAGATCTGGAAAGGCTTAGTCAACCTTTTACTCAGCATTGTTTACAGTTACGTCGATTTCCAGACATTCTCCTTCACACGATAGGCATCTCATTAATATTTAAAGATTCTTGTTTGGTTATTAAAAAATAACACTCCCGGGGGCTGGAGAGATGGCTCAGAGGATAAGAGCACTGGCTGCTCTTCCAGAGGTCCTGAGTTCAATTCCCAGCAACCACATGGTGGCTCACAACCATCTGTACTGAGATCTGGCACCCTCCTCTGGCGTGCGGGCAGAATGTTGTATACATAATAAATAAATAAATCTTTAAAAAAAAAAGAAATAAAGCTATAAAAAAAAATAACACTCCCGTTTACACTTACAAGTCTTTAGCTTCCTTAATTGTGTTAAGATAAAAACAGACTCCTGGTTCCTGTTGATAGCCTGTTTTAATAGAATGTTGGGTCAGAATTCTGCATGGCATGGTGAATTTTCTAATTTTCCTATGTTTTGTTCTGTCCAAATATTTTGCTCAAAATATTCCATGTTGCATGTGTATCATTGTGGAGAACTATAGCATTGATCGAAAATTATTTTCTGACCATCACTATTGTAAAAACAATCTTTTAGGTAAATTAATTTAAAAAATAGTTTGTTTATATTAGTGAGATCTTTAAAAGCAATTTGCATTTAAAAGGTGTATTTTGACATTTTTCCATTTATTAATGTTTCTGGAGTAGATGTCAAATTCTTAGGCTTAAGGCATTTACATTTTATTTAGTACAATCTTATAAAAATGGGCACAACTCACAGGAAATGCAGGTCGCAAAAGGTTAAATATACTGGCCAGAGTCTCTGCTTACGAATAGCAGAACCAGAGCCCAGGGTCATCTGATCTAAAGGCCACCCCCGACTATTTCTATTGCACTGTCTTCAACTTGTAATTATGTATAAAACCTCATTGTGGGCCCTAAGACAGCACAGCAGGTAAAATGCACGCTGTGCACAACGAAAATGCATGCTGTGCACACATCAGAAACCACGGTTGGAGACCCTAGGGTCTCTTCACTTGCACAGTGGCACACACTATGACTTCTAGGGTAGAGAGTCAGAGACAAAGCTGTCTCCAGAGCTCATTGGCTGGCTAGACTTGCTGACTTGATGATCACCAGATTCAGTGAGAGATTCTGTTTTAAAAAATCAGATGGAGAGCAGCTGAGGAAGACACCAAACATCAACTCTAGCCTCTGTATGCATGTGTATACAGGTGTTTTCCTCCTAACTAAAATGTGCGTACACATAAGTGTGTACACATGCATGCACACACAGACATACACCTCCTCTCTCACATGCGTGTACATGCGCGCACATACACACACAAATAAATCTCCTCATGATCCTATACAATTTGACCTTGAATTATAAAGTACATATTTTTGTATTGTATTTCTTTTAAAATATGGAGTCTAGAAAGTACTCTAATAACTTTATGGAAACAATTTTTGCTTGTTTTTTAAAATTGTCTTTATTGAGCTATATTTTTCTCTGCTCCTTTCCCTTCCTCTCCCCACCCCTTCTACCCTCCCTCAGAGTCTTCATGCTCCCAATTTTCTCAGGAGATTATGTCTTTTTCTATTTCCTATGTAGATTAAATAAATATATGTTTCTCTTAGGGTCCTCATTGTTGTCTAGGTTCTCTGGGATTGTGAATTGTAGGCTGGTTTTCCTTTACTTTATTTTTAAAAGCCATTTATGAGTGAGTACATATGATATTTGTCTTAGAAACAAATTTTAAATGATTTAACTTGTTCTTGCTGGAAGTTTATTTTATCTTATGTGTTACTCTATTTTTTAATCAATTTTACTTTTCAATAAAAGACAGTGATACACTTAATTTTACACAATTATGGTCATCATTTTACAAAAGTATCTCCTATATTCAAAGAGAATGGAACTTTTTCTGTACTTCATAGTCCAGTTAATAGTGCACCTTGAGGTCACTTAGCCTGATATCCTGCTGAATACTCGATCTGCTTGTTTTCAGAGAACTTCTTTTCAGAGAAGACTGCAACAGCCAACCTAGCTTGCCATGGAATTTCCACAAAATCAGCTTTTAAAACCAAAATGAAAGCATAGCTGTATTCTTGAGTCATGCATTCTTCTGTGTCACTGATCCGTAGAGCAACATGCGTGCATATGTATGTATGTATGTATGTATGTATGTTGTTCTTGCAATCATTTGGTGAGAAAAATAAACAGGTCAAAAGAGGTCTTGTGGAACAAATACCTGCCATGAAAGTTGGAAATGACATAAACTATTGCTTCACAATTAGTCTTTTTGCAGTAAACACCTTGTAAAACTGTTAAAATTCCTTATGATGTATCTCTCATTTCTCCCCATGTGATGTTTTCTGTGCTGTTCAATAATTCCAGATTGAAGCCCTTTGTTAGAGACAAGACAGCATAGAGCGAGTAGAAACATGTGAGATACGTATCACAAAGAGACTAGGGGCAAGTCAGGAACCACAAACTACAGACACATGGAAGACTTAGGAAAAGTGGAGAATTCAAAGTTAGGCTAGCTTTTGGTAAAATTAATTCAAAAGGAAGTGTTGCATTTTATTTTTTAATGCAATGCCAACACAAATTGGTGCCTCTGAGGTTATCTTTAATATGTTTTAGTGACTGACAGACAGTCAGGTTGAAATAAAGATGTGGGTAATGACTTGATTTCTTACTGCGGTGGATTGAATGAGAATGTCCCCCATAGGCTCCGATTTCAAACATTTGGTTCCCAGTTGATGCTGTCTCAGGGGTATTCTGGAGAGGCAGCCTTCTTGGAAGAAGCATGTAACAGAGGTGGGCTTTGGGAGTTTATAGACTCACCCCCCTTCAAGTTCAAACTCTGTTTAGTTTTTACTGAGAATGTGCTACCCCGGCTTCCTTTTTGGTCTTCTTGCTGCTGTTTCTGCCCTGAACTTACAGACCACCCTCTATAACGGTAAGCCTTAAATAAACTCTTCCTTCATTCCTTGCTTTTGATCACAATGTGCTGTTTCAGCGACAGAAAAGAACTAACACCACACCAACAATGAGATACCATTCAAATGAATGAGAGAGCAAATGTCCACAAATGACACATAAATAAGTCATAAAATAATTTGAAATTGAAATTCTATATAACCATGAAAAGAAAAGATCTAAAATACCAGTGTAGACAAAACTGAGTTTGTAAAATTGAATTTCAAATTAATGTGAAAACCAAAATATTATTCAAAAATGTTAAAAAATGCAAAACAACATTATTTATTATTAACAAATGTTTAAATGTGTTGTAACAGGTAAGTTGTCAACACTGAATAATAATTAGAAGGAACAGAATTAATTCCAGCAATTAATTAACTGAAACCTAGGATGGATAACTTGTGGTGAGGCTTTAAAAGGACAACGATTAATTGCAGCAAATTTGACAAATTCTCAGTATCTAATAGTGTTGGCTAATACACACAAGGAAAACATCTTCATTATGAATTCTCTATATTCTCTTCATATTCTGAATAGTTTTAA